CCGTTGGGTGAGGGAGCGACAGGAGCAAGACGCAGCAACCGGACAGGACACCGCGACCGGACTAGACACTACAACTGGACCAGACACGACCACCTGGCTAGACACAGCAACCGGACTGGACACCTGAACTGGAGGGGACGCAACGACCTGAACGGAGGACGCAACCGGGGAGCGCTCGGTGTGGAGAACGTAGAGAACGGAGCAGGGCTCCCTGGTGAACGTGGCCAGAACAGCACCTGTGGCAGCGTCTGTACAGACCGCAGTCCTCCCACCCCCCACAAAGGTAACCGTGATCCCCCTGTCCTAGAGGTAACCAACACCCACCAAGTTCCGAGTGAACGAGGGGATGTGGAGGCCGTGCAGGACACCAGAGGGGACCACAGGACACGGGAGGGTAGTGGAGCTACGCGCAACGGCTGGTCCTGAGGTAGGATCAGCCAGAGCTACCGAAACAGGAGTGAGGAGTGGCGTGAGGGTCGTGTGGTCGCGGAAGAAGCACTGAGACGCACCAGAGTCCAGCGTGAAGGACAGGGACGCCTCAGCCGGAGGGTCACCTGTCCTAGTGGCTACACAAGCACCTAGAGCAGCAACACAAGCACCTAGACTAGAAAGGCACAAGTCTACACTAGCAGGAGGCAAGCAAGCTAATCTACGAATTCGCGAGCACACAGATCCATCAGCACTATAGTCAACATCAGCATACAAAGCATGTTGACGAGCATCGTCCATGGATAGATCAAACACATCAATCTTACGGGCTAACAGGCGAGCCCAGCGAGGCGTGGTTGCCGCAGGGCCCCAACGAGCACGGTAGAGGTCGTCGAGGCGGCGGAAGCACCGCGCGGCAGAGTGGTCGTCGCGATCGCAGAGAAAGGGACTGCCCGGTCCGGTGAGGCACCAGTGGGTGCAGGGGCCAGTGTCACGGCGAGGGGGGCGAGGGGCCCAGCTAGAAGTACTGCCGCTGCGGCCGGTGCTCCCTGGTCCTCCCGGACCCCACTGCGGCGGGGGACCCCAGTGCTGCTGCGGACCCCACTGCAGCGGGGGCCCCCACTGCTGGAACTGCTGCGGTGCCTGCTGCTGCTGCTGCTGTTGTCCCTGCTGTGGCTGGTACTGCTGCGACTGCTGCTACTGGGTTCCAACACCCCCACCGGTCGGGCCACCGCCAGTGGGCGGGCTTGTCTGTCCTGCACCTCCTCCAAGACCCCCGCCTCCTGGTGCACCTCCGCCGCCGCCACCGCCGCCGCCGCCTCCACCGCCGCCGCTCCCACCTCCGCCGCCACCTCCACCGCCGCCTCCACCGCCTCCACCTCCCCCCTTCCCGCCCTTCTTGCCACTCTTGCCCCGTTTCTGCCAGTCTGCGGCAGAAACGGCAGCAGTGTCGTCAGAAACCGACACAGCAGCAGAAGCGCGGGTAGCAGTGAAAGTGGAAAGCTGAGGGGCGGCACACCCCGCAAAAAGATGGGGGGCCACCGCGTCAGTGGCGGAGGCAACGGTGAAGAGGCTACTCTCGATCATCCCGAGAGCGGTCTCAAGGAGATCGATAGTGAGCTCAGTGGGGTGCTTCTGGAGAAGCGCGTCGCGAGCAGTGGCAAGGCGGTCAGGGAGGCGGGTGACTAACCAGTGCACAGTGAGCCACATGGGGGGGGGAGCAGCAAGAAGCTGGGCGTCGGTACAGGCCGCACGGAAACCGGCGTCAAGTGAGCGGAGGTGAGTCACTAGATCGGACACAGTCGCAAACGAGCCGAGGTCGGGAAACACGAACGGCATGAGGAGGCGACTGAGGGAGGCAGAGGAAGGGGTGGAATAGCGTGCAACAATAGCATCCCAAACCCCCTGAGCTGTCTCCACCTTGTCAAAGTGGGCGGCCTCAGTCGGGGGGAGGAGCTCCGTCAACGCAAGAGCGGCGGCAGCATCGCGGGAGTTCCACACGTCCCTCGCCAGGACCCGACGGTCGTAGTCCGCCTGGGCCGCAGGAGTCGTCTCTGGGCCGGTCGGCAGGGGGGCGGGGGACTGGGGCGCCTTGAGGGCACCAGACGCGTGGGCCCACAGGGTGGCGCCGTCCTGACGCTGACTGGTGAGGTAGCGCGTGGTCTGGCGCTGCCAGGTACTGAACTCGATCGGGCGTCCCTCCGCATCAAAACGAAGGCGGCGGGATTCCATAATGGAGGCCATGCTAGTGGCGGCTGGAGCACGGAGGAGGCGGGTCTAGGAGCGAGGAGGGAATCTAGGAGCGCCAGGTGTGGCGAGGCAAGAGACCGGCGGAGCTAGTGGCTAGGAGCTAGTGGCTACACGGGTCTAACCTAGGCGACCGGTGAGAGTAGCGGCTGCCAGCCGCTGAGTGAAAAGCCAGTAGCAGTAGGAACGGTTTTAGCCCGGGGGACAGGGCGGTGGCTAGGTGAGAAGCGGCGGTTGGGACGTTAGGAGGAGGTGGCGCATGGGTTAGGGCGCGGCCTAAGGCGAGGGCGAGGGCTAAGGCAAGGGCGCGGGCTAAGGCGAGGGCGCGGGCCTAAGGCACGGGCTGTGGCGACGGGCTAGGGCGCGGGCCGGGGCGACGGGCTAGGGCGCGGGCCTGGGCGACGGGCTAGAGCGCGGGCTGGGGCGACGGGCTAGGGCGCGGGCCGGGGCGACGGGCTAGGGCGCGGGCCGGGGCGACGGGCTAGGGCGCGGGCCTGGGCGACGGGCTAGGGCGCGGGCTGGGGCGACGGGCTAGGGCGCTGGCTGGGGCAACGGGCTAGGGCGCGGGCCGGGGCGACGGGCTAGGGCGCGGGCCTGGGCGACGGGCTAGGGCGTGGGCCTGGGCGACGGGCTAGGGCGCGGGCTGGGGCGACGGCCTAGGGGCGACGGGCTAGGGGCGCAGGGTAGGGGCGCGGAGGGCGCTAGGCGCGGAGGTCCGCGACGACGCGGGCGAGGGGCGCGGAGGGCGTTAGGCGCGGAGGGCGCTAGGCGCTGAGGTCCGCGACGGCGCGGGCTAGGGGCGCGGAGGGCGCTAACGCGCGGAGGAGGAGGGCGCTAAGGCGCAGAGAGGGCGCGGAGGGCGCGGAGGCTAAGATGCGGAGGGCACGGAGGGCGCGGAGGTGCGCTAGAGAGGGCGCGGGCTAGGAAGTAACAAGGAACTAACCTACTCGTGATACCATCTCAAAGTTAGAATGCAACGGAATGATTGGTTTAGGAAACAAGGCATTACAAATAAGCAACCCTAACTGTGTTATACTCTCTAAGGAGCAACTCACTACAGCCTATCACAAATATCAACATTTGACAAAAATCACTGCCTAAAGGCGAGTCACCCTCGAATTTACTCAGCGACATTTTTACCTTCAATCGCTCAACGATGGCACCTACGCCGACACTTAACAACGGGAACTCGTCAACCCCCACTTCTGACTCCGACCGTAACACCCGCGATATTGCGGGCGAACGCCGTAACAAGCATCGGGCAGAAGACGAACCTCCCGCCCCGACTGCAGTGGACGTGCTGCTGGGCGGGCTCGAGGTTAAAAAAAACGCCGACCCCCAGCAGCACCCGTCGGCGCCTGTGGCGCCAGTGGCGCTAGTGGCACCTGCGGCGCAAGTGGCGACGGCAGCTGGCGCTGCACACGCGACTGACGCCGAGCACACGCCAGCACCCGCGGCTGGACCGTCGCGTCAGCGCCAGAGGAGGCGGACTGCAGTCTCCTCGTCTGACGCGACGGCCGCCCCTGCGTTGACGCAGTCGTTGACCCCGGACCAGGTCAACGCGCTGCTGTCCCTTCTACAGCAGCAGCCCTTCAGCGTTACAGTCGCGGAAACTGCACTACCCGCTGCATCTGCGTCGGCTAAAAAAGAAACTGAAAAAAACATGAAAAAGGCACGTAAGGAGCACGGAAAACCGGCATGACGACGCAGCAAACGCCGCTCCCCCTGCTCCAACGGTCGACAACGACACCGACGACTCTGAAGATGAAGTCGGTGAGGCTCCAGTCAACAATGCTAATTTTATTGGCACGGAAAATCTCCCCCCTCTCCCTTCTTCTAACCTCACCTTCTCCGCGGCGACCTTCGTCAACGACTCCGTGCGCGAGCAAGCGGAGCTGCTGGAGGACTTGCGGGCGTACCTGCTGCACGCGGAATACAAGGCGCAGCGTGGCGACCCGGCGGGCGGACTCGAACTCATCTCGCACGCTCTCAACCTCATCTCGAGGACGCCTCCGACTTTCGCACTGCGAAGCGCTTCAAGCTGTACCAGCAGAAAAGCCTGCTGACCTCTCGACCCTTCAAGCAGGCGGTCGCGGACATGGCTGCAATGGACCGTGCGGCAAGCGCATACGCTCGTGTCAACCGCGGCAGAAACAACGCGCCGATGCCGTTTGCACCCAAGCGTGGGCCACCACCCACGGCCAATTGTTGTGGGTTTTGGGGCTCGTGCTTCCGCTGCGGCCAGCCGGGCCATGTGGCAAGTGCCTGCCCTAGGAACGGGCATGGCGGCCAAGGATCCGCTCCGGTGGTGTAGGAGCGGGCCATAGATAGGGCCCTTTGGGCTCTAGGCACGGTGCACTCTTGAGTGCGGAAACCGTGGGCAACCCCTCTTGAGTGCGGAAACTGTGCGATGGCAAGAGGCCAGCCCTAGAGAAGGGTAGATAGGCTCTGGGCCTAGGATAGGGAAGGGGAACAACCCCTCGGTCCCATGTGTTTGGCCACTCGGTGGCGTGATGCATGCTAGGAAAGCATTGTTTTGTGTGTTGGTTGATTAATAAAATATTCCTTCTTAAAGGCCTAATGTCTTGGCAAAGAGACTCTAAAAAATAAAGAGGAGGAGCAGAGCATGAGAGAAAAAAGGGGGAGAGAGAGAGAGAGAGAGAGCGAGAGAGAGAGAGAGAGAGAGAGAGAGAGAGAGAGAGAGAGAGAGAGAGAGAGAACAGGGAAAATGGAGGGTGTTTCAGGGAATATGGGAGGAAGCTGCAGGGTGGAGGAGGACATGGGGAGGTTTTCTGGTTTGGGAGGAGCCACAGGACGGGTGGTTCATGGGGTTCTCAGTGACTTGTGGTTCTGCTGTGGACCGGGCTGCTCTAAGTGCTAGGTGAACGTTGTGCTTAGGCTGGATATGCGTGCTCTGCTTGCAAGTAGTTCTGGTTTCCTGGTTGCTTCCATGTTTAGACTGGCTAGTCACCATCGCCCGCCATGCCTGTACCTGGTGACCCATATCAATACATGACTGCTTGAGAGAGAGAGATTGCCTCTGCCCTCTACCCTCAGCCCTCTGCGCTCTCCTACTCCAGCTATATAAGGGGCCTTCTTGGCCTCTCTTCTTCATTGTGCGGCGGCATAATATTTTTCGCTCGCGCCGGCCGCCTTCGGCGGCCGACGCTCGACAGCGCGGCCTTCGGCCGCGCGTGAGGGGTGGCAAGCGCAAGCACAAGCAAGCGACACTAAGCAAGGACATACAGGCAATGGCGGTTCCTACAATAACCTAGATAAGCATGGCATCAATGGGGCAATCGGAGCCCGCGACTACATGCGGTGAGCTCCAAGGGCGTGAAGAACGCCCGTCAGGGTGCGCCACAGCTCCCGGACCACAAGCGTGCTTGCGCCGATCGCCGCGGCTCCAGATCCTGCGCGCAAGTGCCGCCTCAAGCCCCGGACAGCCTCGTCAAGCTGTCCCGCAGCAGCAGCGCCACCCTCCGCGGGCGCAGCCAACACGGGCGCCAGCAACGCTGCGAGCTGGTCCGCCGCGTCCAAGCACGTGTCACGCTGGCGGCCGCGGAAAGTCTGAGGAGGAATCACGGGGAGGGACGAGTGAGCAAGTACTTGAATCAGCAGCAACGCGTGGAGACTCTCCGCGAGTCGGTGGAGTCGCCTCGGGAACACGCATCTGCGGAGGCTGAAGTGCCTCCGTCAGGAACAGAAGCGGCTCTTCCGCAGCAACATGGTGAGAATACTGCGCCGACGAGCCACCACCCGCAGCAACAAACTCCACTCCCGCAACAGGCGGAACCGGCGGCAGATGAAGACGGGAACCGGGAGGAGGTGCCGAGGCGGCGGGAGCAGGAGCCGGCGGGAAGTAAACCGGAGGCGGGGGTGCGGCGACAGGCGGCGGACTCACGGGGAGCACAGCCTGTCGAGGAGCCTCAAGGGCGGGCGAGGCGCGCATCGAACAACTCTGGCTCTGCGCCGCCCTCTCCTCACGCACCGCCCTCGAGACTTCCCGCTGTAGATCTGCCATCCTCACAGGCGGGCGGTACCCCCCACCACCGCCACGCCCGCGGTGACCCCTCCAGTCCCCCTGACCGAAGGGTTGGGCAGGCCAGTGAGTTTGCTGTTGGTAGCGCCGTGGAGAGTCTCGCCGGCGCCGAGACGTCGCGCGCTCCTGATGGTGCGCGGGGGAATGGGGGCGAGAAGGGCGGCGGTCAGGCGACGGGGGGCGTGACGGCTGACCTGCCAGGGCCGCCGGTATCGCCGCAGGCGCGGACTGGCCCGCCGCTGGGGGCGCAACTGACGGAGCCGGGCCGCCAGTGGTGGCGGACGCCGCCTTCGACGACGAAACAGACGCCGGAGCAGGCACGTCGGGGACAGAAGCGGGCGGTGCAACGGGCGCGCCAGGGACAGGAACAGGGGGATCAGCAACACCCCCAGCAGGAGCAGACACAGGCGGCTCGACAAAGAGAGCCAGGGGAACAGGAGCAGCAGCAAGAACGGAGCAGCAGCCCCTGACACGGCAAGGGGATCCGCGGGTGCGTGGGGAAGAGTCTTTTCAGCGTCTGTTGTCACGGGCCTCGGAGCCGGCGGTACAGGGGGCTTCGTCGCCGTGGTCGCCTTTCCGGGCCCCGACTGAGGCTGGGCGACCACAGCTGACCAGGCGGCAGCGCGCTCTGGCGACGGCTGAGATGAACCGGCAATCACCATCTGGAGAGCGGGGAGGTCGCGGAGCTAGGAGGCAGGTTACTAGCGGAACGAGCGGAGGTCCGGAGAACGGGTATCAAGCAGCAGCACGAATGGCTTTAACGGCTCTGGATGCAACTCATGAGGAAGACGAGGTAAGGGACCCATCTTATGGGGAAGAATCCCTCCCTCCCAGCGAAGACGAGGGGATTGAGGACGAAGGCAGTGCGAGGGAGGCAGCGGGAAGAAGAGTAGCAGGGGTAGGACACTCAGCCACGCAAGTAGCACATGCGGATCATCGACCGTCCGATGTCGATCGAACGGGTGAAATTCCAACCCCAATCCCACCAGCGCGGACGGGCCGGGCTCGACGAAATCGAACCGCCACTATCAATGTCGCGACACGCCAAACCACTCCGACTCCCCGCTATTTTTCGCCTGATGAGCTGGCGAAGCGAGCAGACCTGTTCGCAACCATCGCGAGCTGGGACATCGCAGCACTCTGCGACAGTCGTCAGCCTTCGCTGTCATGCCGTTTGCCGCCGATTCTGTGCCAACTGTTCTCGCTGGCGCTTCTGACACCGTTACTCCACCTATCGCGAAACCCTGAATCCGAAGCGGGTTGGCGCCTGCTGCTGTTTCTCCCACGCCTAACACTTTGCCAGACCTCGCCACAAAGACCGAACTGGCCGGGTGTCAAGGCCCGGCTCCGAGCCTTTCAGCGCGGCGAATGGGGGCAGCTGTACCAAGACGCGGTTGACGCAGTCAACACACCCCCACCGCCACGACACCAGCCTGACACGACCGGAGTCATCAGCCGAGCCGAGGGCCTGGCGAAACGTGGCAGTCTACGCCGGGCCGTGCTGGCCCTGGAGTCAACACCCGTCTGCACCCCGAGCCCGGAAATTTTGGAAGAGCTGCGTCAAAAGCACCCGCCAGCAGTATACGAAGCAGTGACCTGGCCCGAGCCACCCGAGTCAAAGCTATCCATCACCCATGCTGAGTTCGCCAAGATTCTGGGAAGATGCGAGAACGGGGTGGGAGCTGGACCTTCGGGTACGACATTTGAGCACCTGCGCGACGCGACGATCACCAACGCAACGGTCAGCACCCATCTGCACGCCTTGGTCAATACCTTGCTCGGAGGAAATTTGCCAGGCCCGGTCGCAAAAATTCTGACTGCATCACGACTCATAGCTCTGGCCAAACCTGGGGGAGGAGCCCGGCCAATCGCGATAGGCGAATGTTTGACAAGGCTGACAGCCAAGGCAGCCCTGATAGCCATGGATGAAGCTGCCCGCGAACATTTCCTGCCACTTCAGTACGGCGTGGCAGTGCCAGGTGGAGCAGAGGCGGTAATCCACGCGGCCAGGGCATTCTTGGATGCCCGCCCCAACAGCCTGGTCCTGCAAGCCGATATTTCAAACGCTTTCAACAGCATTTCGCGACATGCCATCGCTACTGCGTTACAGGAGCCCGGACTCTCGCCTCTGCAGCCGTTTGTAAAACTGACCTACGGTAACCCGTCGCAACTACTCCTGGACGCCAATTTCAACTGCGAACCGCTGCAAAGTGAACGGGGCGTTCGACAGGGAGACCCTCTAGGCCCATTACTGTTTGCAGCAGGGATACGCTGGCCCATCCACCGATGGGTCGGCCGCGACGGAGGGATTGGCGGCACAGACTACGCTGGCGCTGCCGGCGCACACGGGAGAGACGACGCGGACTGGGACTGGGGCGGAGGGAGTTGCAACGGCTGGGACTACGTGGCAGGAGCCTGAAGCTGGGGTCGAAGACGAGCCGTGCCAGAGAGTGGCGGGCGAGGGGGACAGCGGCGACGGAAAGAATGGCCGCGCGCACGGAGAAACGGATGAGTGCGCCCGCGAGGGGAGCGGTACACAGGCTCCCTCGGTCGTGCAGGCGTGCTCGGTGGCGCAGAAGGCGCGGCGCCAACACCCGCAGTCAGGCAATCCGCGACGGCTCGGAACAGGGCTGGCACCTGCTCGCCCTGGGCCGCTAGTAGGGTGGGCACAGCAGGAGATCCCGCCGCCACAATCACTTCACGCCGAGGCGGCCGGCGCCGGCCCGTCATCAAGTGCGGGGGACGAGGCGGGATGGCCCCACGAAACAGCTGAACGGGTGGAGGCCGAGGCGGAAGACGGGGTGGCGGCCGTAGAGGAGGAGCAAGTGACCGTGATCGACAGGCGCCGAGGGGGAACAGCGCGGCAGAGGCTGCTGCGAGAACGCGCGGCGGAGGCGGCGGCGGGAAACCCGCCAGCAGGAACACGGAGACGAGCGCCGGGGGCGCCGAGGGGACGCGGCGGACGGGGTGCGCGCGGGAGGGCAGGGCGAGGAGGCCTTGCGGCAGCAGTGGCTAGAGAAAAAGCCAGATCTGGGCCTTGGCGGGAGAGGCACGGGAGGCCGGAGCGACATCAGAAAGGAGATCCAATGAATGACTACGAGGATGATGGGGACGAGGAATATATGGAGGAGGAACAGGGGGATTCGGAGGACGTGTCACTGGAGGATGAGCAAGGTATCCCAGCAGGAGGGGCAAATCGAGGGGCAAGGGGTGAGGGAAACCATGCTGACGCCAACGAGGGTGAGTCACGTGGCGTCCAGCCCAGTGAGACGGCCAGCAAGGCAAGATCGCCAGCAGACATCGCCGATGACTCAGACGCCTGGCGCCAGGTGGAAGGGTGGGAACTGGGGCCACTGTGTTGCAGCGCCCAACCCTTTCTGTTCCGGAAGTTTCCCCCCAAGATCCTGGGAGTCTACGCCTACTGCATGACGATCCCCCTGCAGCGACTCGCGAAGGTTCCAGGCTGCGCGGGTGCGTGGCGAATCCTGCAATTCCTACCCAGGTTGACCCTCCGAGCCGAAATTGAGAAGGTTCCTAGAAACCGCTGGGCCGTGGTTGAGAAGTGACTTCAGCAATTTCAAGAAGAAGAATGGGAGGTGCTGTTCTCGGAAGCCTGCACCATTCCCCCGAATCCCCAACCAAGCAGACACCAACCAGACCCTGAAAGCATGTGTGCCAGAGCGGAGGGCCTAGTACAGAAGGCGAACCTGGCGAAGACCTTAGCGGCGTTACAGTCAACCCCGCTCGCCGAGCAATCACCAGCGACACTCGCGGCACTTCGCGCTAAACATCCGATGGCCGGGGAGGCAACACCAGGATAGGTTACCGGATACGAATCGTCGTCCCTGACAATTGTTGCCGACGAATTTCGCGAAGTCTTAGCTAAGTGCCCGAATGGGATTGGGCCTGGGCCATCGGGCTCATGCTTTGAACACTTACATGACCCCGCGCTACTGAACGGGGAGGTCTTCACGCTCCTGCACCAAGTAATCAACTCGCTGATGAGCACTTACCTTAGCGCGCCTATTAGGGATCTTCTCCTACCGTCGAGGCTGATAGCTCTGGAGAAGCCAGGAGGAGGGGTTAGACCGATAGCAATCGGCGAAGCGATAATTAGGCTAGCGGCGAAAACGGCGCTGCGGAAACTCTCGCCCGGTATCCGGAAGTTCTTCCTCCCAGTCCAGTTCGGCGTGGCAGTGCCCGGAGGAGCAGAGACAGTGATACACGCTACCCGAGCATTGCTGACGGACGACCCAACTCGAATGGCAATACAGCTGGATGTCGAGAACGCATTCAACTCCGTAGAACGGGGAATCTTCTTCACGGCACTCAAATGGACAGCGCTTGAGCCGCTTCTACCGCTAGTTCGCACGCTGTACGGCTCACCGGCACGCCTCCTACTAGATCCGGGCTTCGACGAACGGTACATCGAGAGCGCTCGAGGTGTGCGCCAGGGAGACCCACTGAGGCCGATGCTCTTTGCGGCGGCCATACAACCAACCCTACTGAGGGCCGCGGCGATGTGCCCCACGACGGTGGTAATGGCGTACGCGGACGACATCACAATCATCGGCGCTCCGGCGGAGGCGATTAAGGGAGTAAACGTCATCACGGAGGAGCTACACAAGTGCGGACTGCGATGCAACATGGAGAAGTCCTCGGCGTGGTGCCCGGCAGGCTGCTCGGATGTACTCCCTGAGGGGCTGGTGGTGGCGATCGACGGGATACGGGTGCTGGGGAGCCCGGTGGGGACTAGAGAGTACGGGAGGAGGTCCATACGAACGACCCTGAGCACGGTGGTGGCGCCACTGAACCTCATCGGCAAACTGCACCCACAGCACGCACTCCTCCTCCTCTCGAGATGTGTGTCGCGACGCATCTCTTACATGCTCCGAACCACCCCGGCTGACACACTACCACGGGTGGAATGGAGGGACTGGAGTGAGGAACTGCTGTGGACGGCACTCAAAGCGGCAAAGATGCACGCCCCTACGAGCGAACAGGAGCAGAGCCTGGTCTGGCGTCAAGCAACGCTACCGGTGTGCCTCGGGGGCTTGGGGCTGATAGACCCGCTTTCCGAGGCACCGGCAGCATACCTGGCCTCCCTACACGCAGCAAACACTCTCCTCAGGCACACGGCGATGGCGGCAGACAACCCCCTGCAGCAGGTGACAGACCTGGTGTCGTCAATGGGAGGAATTCAGGGGGCATCAGCAGGAGGGGGGACTCTCCAGGACCTTCGGAACCGGCTCCCAGAGCAGGCTCGGGAGGTCCTGAAGGCGCACCACCAGAAGGGGGAGGTAAAGGGGCACCTGCAGCTGATCCTCTCAAAGCACATCAACCTAGACAGGGCGGCCGAGCTCGTGGGGGATACAAGGGCGGACAAGCCTGGAGCCGACAACGGACACGTGATCCGGCTCATCAGCCTGCAAGGGGTGGGGGCGGGAGATTGGTTGCATGCTATCCCTACGAGAGGTGACCTCACATTCTCCCCCGGTCAGTTTGCAGTGGCGCTCGGCTTCCGGCTAGGTCTGCCCCTGGCGGTCACGGAAAAGTGCCCCTGCAAGGGGAAGCGTTCAGACATCAGGGATAGGAGCCTGCCGAACCACCTACTGTGGTGTGCCGATGGAGGGGACAGGACTAACACCCACAACGCCCTGGTGTACGCGGCGCTCCGGATGGCTAAGGAAGCAGACTACACAACCTTGCACGAGTCAGCAGCCTTCTCGCCTATAACCAACCAAAAGCGAGCGGACTTGGTGATTCGCGACAAGGAGTCCAACGAGACCTACGTCACTGACGTGACGGTCACGGACCCTGTCCTGCAGCGGCGTGACAAGAGAGCGGTAAAGGCACCAGGGTGGGCGGCAGAGGACGCGGCAAGAGTGAAGCGGGGGCTGTATGAGGGCCGCCCGGGTTTTGTAGGGGTGTTCGGTCTGGCGGTGGAAACCTACGGGGCCCTAGCTAGGGACACCCAATGGTTCCTCCGCCTCCTGGGCACCCAGGCTGCAAAGAAGAAGCACAGACAGGGGAGGCTAACTGCTGTAGCCTCCCGAATCACGGCGCATTACCGGCAGCGGTGGTCGGTGATGCTCCAGCGCTGCCAAGCAAATGCCCTGATGGCCAAGTCCAACAGGGCACTTGAGGCAGCGCACCCACAGGCAGCGGCGGACCCGTGGGAACCAAGCCTCGGGGACCTGTGGCAGGTCCTCGAGGATGACCTGGGCCAGCTACTCGACTTGGGGGAGTAGAGGGCCGGGTCAGGCCATAGGGGCCCGCCCACACAGAGGGCTCCCCTCAGCTGGGCAGGACAGGAGGGGATTGAGGCGCCCTGCAGGAGGCAGAGCAGGCCAGCAATGGTGTAACAGTAGGGACAGGTGTGGTGACTACGCAGCCAAGCATGCCAAGCCGGCCCAACATAGGCCCAGATTGTGATTCTGTTCGGTATAACCTTGCATGCCTAGGCCAATATGCTTGTTAGGATTGCCGTTGCCTTGCCTGTACCCTATACACACATCAATGCAGGACTGCTTGAGAGAGAGAGAGAGTACCAGCAATGCTCTATCGGTTAGCACTGCTGGTTCTGCTTTGCTTGCTAGCTTTGCTTGCATGTTGTCTTGTTTGTTAGCTCCTGGTATTGGGTTACCTACTAGCTTAGATAGACTAGCTACAACCACTCCCTGCCATATCTGTACCCTATGACCACGATCAATACATGACTGCTTGAGAGAGAGAGAGAGAGAGAGAGAGAGAGAGAGAGAGAGAGAGAGAGAGAGAGAGAGAGAGAGAGAGAGAGAGAGAGAGAGAGAGAGAGAGAGAGAGAACGAGAGAGAACGAGATAAACCACGATGGACAAGTGTGTCCATGGTCCTAGGCATCAGCCCCCATGCACTAAGGCAGGCACAACCAGGTCATACCGAGTGGAAGACGAGGCAAGCAAAAGGCTAGCCAAGGTGCTAGATAGGATGGCCAAAAAAAAAAAAAAAAAAAAAAAAAAAAAAAAAAATGCAGGTAGTGAAACTCACTCACTTACCACGAGCAAAAAGCCCACGAGGAGTAAAAAAAAAAACAAAAACAAAAACAAAAAAACAAAAACAAGGAGTACGAAGAAGAAGCGCCGGTGTGCGCCCGACACATTCGTTGGTTTTCATTAGATTGTCAATTTTGTTCACATCTCGATCAATGGTCGCCCGTACATGCACATGCACACGCATGCTTCAAAATGGGACACCCAACCCTGACCCCATTTGGCCTCAAATGTACAGGAGCACGACGGTGCGAGGCGGTATGCTACGAAGATCCGTTTGAATTTGCCGTTACAGACAGAACCATTACACAGATGCGCGGTCGGCTTCGTGCGACCTTCGCGTGGTGGAGCTCATGGTGCTCTTGCAGCCTCGTCCTCTCCGTCATCGCCAAGGGTTACTGGTTGCCATGGAGCCACGGCCCACCACAGCCTTTCCACGATTGCAACCATGACGGAGCGAACACACATGCTACGTTCACACGTACCGCCATCCAAGAACTCATAGAGACCGGAGCAGCAATACCAATGGCCACAACGGAGATTACGTGCATAAGTCCACTCAACGTGGTCGAGCAAAAAGACAAATGCAGGCTCATTCTTGATCTGAGGAAAGTCAACGCCAACTTAATCGTCCCCAAGTTCAAGTACGAGGGGCTCAACCGTGTGGCCGACCTGGCGCGTGTTGGGGACTGGATGTTCTCCATCGATCTTAAATCCGGTTACCACCACATCGACATCCACCCATCATGTTGGAAATTCCTTGGCTTTGAATTTGACAGGCGCACATACGCATTCCGCTCACTGCCATTTGGACTCGCGACAGCTCCATTCGTTTTCACGCAGCTCATCAAGCAACTAGCTCGGCGTTGGCGAGAACAAGGCATCCGAGTTGTACCTTATGTGGACGACATCTTATTTCTCTGCCAGTCAATAGCCCATGCGCAAACAATCTGCCAGCGCGTGATATTGGACCTTAAAGAGGCAGGACTTATGATAAATGCGAAGAAATCACAGTTGTCACCATCGCAACACCTTCGATTCCTGGGCGTAGAATTGGAGACCGACACCGGCCGATTCTCCATCGGTCCCGACCGACGAGCCTCACTACATGCAACCATCCGGAGCCTCCTGAGCACAAGCAAGGCGTGCCGACCAGTCCCGGTCCGTCACATGGCCAAAATCACAGGCATGCTCGCATCGATGGGTGTCGCACTTGGCGCGATAGCTCGCGCATTCGGCCACGCCATGTTACAAGTGATCAACGACGCACCGTCATGGAAAAGCAACGTGGTCACCCCCCCAGCTGCAGCAGAGGAGCTCCACTTTTGGCTTGAGGAGTTTGACCGTTTCAACGGTGCACCTTTTCACGTCAGGAACAGCTATGACGCGGCAATCCATGTGGATGCTAGCTCTCATGCTTGGGGCGCCACTCTGACCACATTTCCGGGTGGCCTCGAAGAAGCCAGGGCAACCATGTCAGAGCCGCTACGAGCAACGTCCAGCACGCGACGGGAGATCGAAGGTGTCCTTTGGGCACTCCAAACGTACGCGAACAAGATCAAGCAAAAACACGTTCTCGTGCGAGTGGACAACCAGGGCGTATTCTTCATCCTTCGCAAAGGCGGCTCTCACAGCCCTGACCTCACAACGGCCTGCAAGAGCATCATCCGAACATGCATGGAGCTCGGCACGCGCTTGATCCTCGAATGGATTCCGCGTGAGCTCAACTCACACGCTGACAAGCTTTAAAAAATGGTCGACCACGATGATTACGCGCTGAAGATGCCGTGGTTCCGCATCTTAGAACGTCGTTGGGGTCCCCACTCCATCGACCTCTTTGCAAACTCCCACAACACCCATCTGCCGCGCTTCTGCACAAAGATTCCCCACTCGGAAGCCATGGCAGTTGATGCGTTCTCGATCGCGTGGACATCCGAAAACAACTTCGCCTTCCCCCCGCCCCAACTGGTCCCAGCCGTCCTCCACCATGCACAACGCACCCATGCATCACTTACATTGATAGTCCCGCACTGGCCACGCGCAAGCCGGTGGCCACTTTTGCAACCCTCCCCATGCACTTGGGCTCCGCACATCCACGCGCACATCCCTCTGACACATGGAAGCCAATGCCTAGATACAGGGTCACATTCCACTGCCTTTTTGGGCATGGGACTACCCCATAGCCCAATCATTGCACTTCGAGTGGTATTTGACTAATTCATAATGTATACGCCCTGTGTTCAGATCTGCTCCCAAAGCTACACGACCAACCGATTAACATGCTCGCGCATTCCCGCGCCGATTCTACGATTCGGACATACGAACCATACTGGGCCAAGTTTCGAGCCTTTTGCATAAAAGTGAACCTCCCATTTCTTCCAGCATCCGACATGACCCTCGCGCTATACCTGGTATACACAATTCGACGCAAAGCCACCCTGTCCGTAGTGCAGCTGACGTGCTCGGCGGTCAGCTTCGCCCATCGCATGTTTGGGAGCAAATGCCCGACAATCGGACCGTTCACTACCCAAGTCCGTGACTACGCAAAACGACACTGCCCTCGCCCTACTCGTCTGAAGGAACCAGTATCGATCAAGCAAGTTCGGGACATGGCCAAGATCTTGCGGAATTTCAGAATGGGTTGATCCCCATCCTCATGTACGCAGGATTGCTGCGATACTCGGACCTAGTAGCCATAAAATGGCAAGACATCCAATCCGACGAAGATGCCATGTGGATCCTCATACCACACTCCAAGACTGACCAGGCCGGTCATGGAACATGGATACCCATTGCAGCAACGGCGGACCCCTGTTGCCCAGTGCGCTGCACCCGACGCTTCATCCAACTCGCCGGCTATGACCCTCAGTCAGAGGGACCATTGATTCGTGTCTTCGGCCACGCTTCAACCAGTGAGGGCCAGGCGAGGCCACCTTCATACACTACAATTCGGAACTGGTGCAAGGAAGCCTTCGCTAAGGTTGGCCTTGGAGAGCTGTAGCTCGGTACTCATTCTTTTCGAAAAGGCGCGGCCACAGTAGCAGCCAACACTGGAGTGCCAGAGAGAGCCTTCAAACGCCTGGGCAGATGGCGAAGTGACCCAGCAAAGGAAATGTATGCCACACCATACGTCGAGCCTCTTATCACAGCCTCCCGCAACCTACAAGACCCGACGCATGCGGCGTCCTCGACACAACACACAGATGCACTCGTACGCAACCGGAGGCCCCCGCTGCCCATGTCTCAGAGACCCCAGTTGTAATGAGAACGATGCCAATTGATAAGAATAAGAAAGCAAGCTTTCTCAATATTATATTTTTTAAACACACATTGTGTATTGTGAAAGAGAAGCTGCTTGTACTGCACAATTGGCATCGTCGAAGCGCGCTCAACGCCCTTCTCCAACTACAAAACCGTGGGTTGGAATTAATTTCCCTCCACCCACGTTTCTCGATTTTCAAACGGCTCACTCAACACTCCCACCACCCACCCCAGCGTAAACCGCTTTACTAATGCCACTTGGACAGGATGTTTGTTAGTGATATTAGCATGCACTAGCTTGTATTCAATCTTGACGCAAATGTTGTAATAAGCCAGTTGTAATGAGAACGATGCCAGTTGATAAGAATAAGAAAGCAAGATTTCTCAATCGTAAGGATTTTGAACCCCTCCTTTCAAAAAAAAGGCACGCATGAAACAAATTTAGGATGCACTGAATGATCCCTGTAAGCTACAAAACAAACTAAACGCTTAACTGAAATTCGGGTGCTCTTCACCTGGCAGTGGCGCAAACCCGTCTTTGATCCCTTGCAAAATGCCGGAAACCTCCCCCAAGTCAACCTGAACCTGGCTCTCGAAGTCCCCCTTGCCAAACGTCAGATAATACCGGAGCTCGCACGCGTACGCCAGGTGGTGGTAGCACGCGTTCTCGTACTTATCGGGGCGAATCTCGAGCACTGTAGCGTTGGCTGGCATGAAGACCATGTTGGCCATGGCTGCCCCGTGACCCGCCACAAAGAGGCGAGCCCGCCGGAAGAGTTTTTGTGCTGAAAGAAGGAAGGAGAGGTGGGGAGAAGAGAAGGAATGGTGTGGAGAGGGGTGTAGGATGTGAGGAGTCAAGTTGGCTGGCATGAAGACCATGTTGGCCATGGCTGCCCCGTGACCCGCCACAAACAGGTGCGGCCTTCGAAAGAAATTCCATGCTGGAAGAAAGGGGGGTAAGGTGGGAGAAGAGGAGTGGCGCAGAGAGAGGTGTAGGATGTGAGGGAGGGAGGGGGCTGGCATGAAGACCATGTTGGCAATGGCTGCCCCGTGGGCTGCTACAAAAAGACGGGCCTTTCGGAACGATTGCGTACACACACTCGCCCTGAAGGATGGGAATCGACCCGTGAAACACTTGCACGCGCGTGTAGCCGAACCACTTCACTATTGACTCTAGTCGCAACCTTTATACAGAGCCCCCCTTGCTTCTGGGCGGCACACACTCACACTCACCGGAAAGGATGGGAATCGACCCGTCAAACACTTGCACGCGCGTGTGGCCAAATATCCTCTTTATAGCCTCCAGCAGCGCATCAAACTTGTCCAGCGCCCTCTTGGTGCCCGGGCGGCGGGCGACCACGACGAGCCAATCAGGGGGGATCACGGAGGCATTGGCGGAATTGAGGGTGCTGACGTGGCGCAAGTCCCATTGGTTGTTGCGGAACACCGGGAGGCCTTTGGGCGGCAAGAGGAAGCGGTGGCGAATGTCCGTCCAAATGGACGGGCTGGCCTTGCCACATGCTTGGTACAGCGGCTGGGCGGGGAAGTTTGGAATGAAGTGGGGAAAGAAAAGAAGTTGGGTTTGACTCAAATAGGCACTGGATTGTCTCAGTGGTCTTCTTCTAAGGGCAACACTGGATCTTGGACACCACTCCTGACAATAATATTACAGACTCACTCACCACACGTCTCCACACCTCACCACAAACCACCACCACTCACCACACATCTCCACACCTCAGCACAAACCACCACCTCTCACCACACATCTCCACACCTCACCACAAACCACCACCACTCACCACACATCTTCACCACCCTCACCACACATCACCGCCACTCACCACACATAGCCACCACTCACCACACATAGCCACCACTCACCACACATCACCACCCCTCACCACACATCACCACCACTCACCACAAATTACCACCGCTCACCACACAGCGCCACCACTCACCACATAGACCTCCTCTGCAAAGTAAATCTCTCTATCCCTGACCACACATCGTCACCACTCACCACACATCACCACCACTCACCACATAGACCTCCTCCGCAAAGTAAATCTCTCCATCGCTAATGTTCAGAACGGCAGACTTTGAAAGATCATTGCCCAACAGCGGCTGTGCGACGTGCTGGTAAAAGTCCCACTGCAGAGTGGTTACGAGGAGGAGAGGGTGGGCAGGGAGGGTGGGCAGGAAGGAGAGGGTTGTTGGTTGGGAGATGGGAAATCTTCGAAAGGTCCTTGCCCCGCAGCGGCTGAGCCACGTTGGAAGCGATCAAGGGTAAAAGAGCCACTGCAGGGTGATCAAGGGAGGAAGAGGGCACAGAGGAGCGGTTGGTTGGGGGGGCGAAAGGGAGGATGGTTGGCTGCGGAAGGGACCTTGGAAGGTCCTTGCCCAGCAGTGTGTGATCAGATCAGACGACTTTTGAGTCGACTCAAAAATCGTCTCATCACAAGAGGGCGAAGAGGAGCGGTTGGCTGAGGGGGAGGAAGGGAGGATGGTTGGCTGAGGAAGGGACCTTGAAAGGTCCTTTCCTTGCCCAGCAGCGGCTGTGCCACGTGCTGGTAAAAGTCCCACTGGCGAGCAGTGGACGCAATTTTTCAGAATTATAATGACTCCCAGCATAGATGGCAGAGACGTGGTTGGTTGGGGTGAGGGAGGCAGGGAGTGGAAGCTGGTTGATCGTGATGAGAGAGGGAGGGAAGGGGGGTTCCCAGCAGCAGCTATGCAACACGGGAAGTGTGGCAGAATAGAAAGTGGAAGCGAGTAGACTTTTGAGTCGACTCAAAAGTTATCTTCCCCAGCAGTGGTTGTGCAACACAGGAAGTGTGGCAGAATAGAAAGCAGAGGCGAGTAGGAATCATGCCTGTGAGGGAGACATCATGCCTTGCCTTCCGCACCCACTACTCACCTGGCCAGCGTGAGCGAGCAGCGGGAGCGTGGGGGCGGTGTGGAGCGTGGAGGCGAGGAGGAGGAGCTGGGGCGTCCACTCGATGAGCCCGTGATAGAAGGAGGAGGCCTGCCGGTACACCAGGTTCACCACCCTCTTGATCCTCTTTATCTTCGTTCCTTTCTTGTACTCAAACTGCAAGAGAGACGTGTTGGGATGGGAGTGGGGATGGCATGACGGGAGGGCGTCCACTCGATGAGCCCGTGGTAGAAGGAGGAGGCCTGCCGGTACACCAGGTTCACCACCCTCTTGATCCTCTTTATCTTCGTTCCCTTCTTGTACTCAAACTGTGGGAACAGGGGGAGAGGCAGGGAGAGGAGGGGGAGACGAGGGAGCGTGGAGGCAAGGAGGAGGCCTGCCGGTGCACCAGGTTCACCACCCTCTTGATCCTCTTTATCTTCGTTCCTTTCTTGTACTCAAACTGTGGGAACAGGGGGAGAGGCAGGGAGAGGAGGGGGAGACGAGGGAGCGTGGAGGCAAGGAGGAGGCCTGCCGGTGCACCAGGTTCACCACCCTCTTGATCTTCTTTATCTTCGTGCCTTTCTTGTACTCAAACTGCACAGTCACCGAGGGAGAAGCAAGAGGACGAACGGAACACCAGTTCACCAGCCGCCGCAGGAAAGACGCATGAAAGACGGGAGAAAAGGCGGAGCCAGAAACACAGGAGAAGCGGGTTCCTTCCAGACCAATGCTCAACAACAGGGACGAAAAGAAGGGATGGGGAAGGGCGGCTGGACTTGAAGCACTTCACATGTGGAACAGGAGGCCTACATTCCCCCCTGCATTTTCTATCAACTGCGTTTCATGTGAATTCACTGCACCTCCTCACCGCATCCCACCACATTTCACCTCGCTGTCCCAGTTGCAGCCCTCGCGGTGGAAGTGCGTTGTCTTGTTGAACATGAGACCCTCGTCGTCGATGTACATTTGAGACGTCTCAATGATCGGCACCGCATCCCATCCCACATAACCTCACTGCACCGCACCTCACCGCATCACACCACATCCCACCGCATCCCATCTCAGCGCACCGCACCGCACCTCGCTGTCCCAGTTGCAGCCCTCGCGGTGGAAGTGCGTTGTCTTGTTGAACATGAGACCCTCGTCGTTGATGTACACGTTGCGCAGCTTGTACACCTGGTGGGGGTGGTGGTGCAGGGTGGAGTGCGGTGGAGCACGGTGCAGATGGGGGAAGAGGAGTGAATTTGGAGTGCGTGCATCACAACCACCAATCTAAACATGAGCCCCTCGTCGATCACGTACACCAAATATTGAGAGGCTCACGTGCAGCTTGTGCGTCTGGTGGTGGAGGTGGCGGCAATGGTGACGGCGATGGTGGTGTGGCGGCGGCTTTGGAAGGGGCGGGGGGGGCGCAAGGATTGGGGGTGGCGGCGGCGGCGGCGGTGGTGGTGGTGAAAAGAAGGAAAAGGGAGCGGATAGAAGGAGGGAAAGCTCAGCCCACCTGGAAGATCTGCCATTCGAACCAGAACAAGTCAGCAGCATGGGTGTAGCTCTCATTCCTCCCCTCGGGCCCCACGTGCGACCGGTCCTCGTCCCATGGCAGTTCACCGGCACGGGCGGCTTTGGAAACCCCTCGTCCCTCCACCCACCCTCCCATCCCCACCACTTTCTGAGTCTCAACTCCAGCAGGGGGACTGGGGCCTCAGAACCACCTGACACCACCTCACACCACTTAGCACCACCTGATACCACCAGTTGCCACACTACGCACCTGGAAGATCTGCCACTCGAACCAGAAGAAGTCAGCAGCATGGGTGCAGCTTTCATTCCTCCCCTCGGGCCCCATGTGCGACCGGTCCTCCTTCGGGCAGTTCACCGGCACGGGCGGCTTTGGAAACCCCTCGTCCCTCCATCCTGCGGCCGGCGTGCAAGCAGACGCATCCGGCCGTATGTCGCAGCTGCCCGAGAAATCCGGGCAGGAGTTGCCCGGGCACTCAAGGGAAAGCATGTTCGGGGAGTGGGTCGAGCCCATGTTCAGGTGCAGATTGTCCATTTCTGCCCGGATAAAATCTTCGGGCATCGTCCCTTCCTTGACTGAACCCTCGTCTATAGGAGTGACAAACCCCATCTCTCTCGCGCTCTTCCCTCCTCCCTCTGCTAGCCTCTCCACCCACTCCCTCCCCTCTTCCAATAGCGGATCCTCCTCCTGCTCCCGAACCCTCCTCAAGGTGTATTCCGAAATATTTTTCAGCACGGGCAGCACGTCGGGCAGGTGAAACTCGAGTGGGGTGTCCTTGGTGCCGTTCCCGAAAACTAAAAAGTATTTCTGCTGGGAGGCGGAGGCGAGGTGGTGGTAGCAGGCGTTGAGGTATTCCCGAGGGCGGATCTCAAGCACACAGGAGGCAGAGGGCATGAAGACCAGGTTCGCCATGGCTGCTCCGTGCGATGCAATATAGACCGCTGCTCGGTTAAAGAGTGCCCTGGCTGGGAACGGGGAAGGGGCAGGGGCAGGCAAGCAGACACAAAGAGTGTTTGAGGTCTGGGTGGTGGTAGGCTGGTAGCAGCGTCGGTGGCAGCCCAGCAGGCGCTGAGGTAGTCTCGGGGGCGAATCTCGAGAACGCAGGAGGCGGAGGGCATGAACACCAGGTTCGCCATGGCTGCTCCGTGTGATGCTATGTAGACTGCCGCCCGGTTGAAGAGTGCCCTGGCTGAGGAGGGAGGAGGGACAGGCAGGTAGGCAGACACAAAGACGACTTGTGAGGCGCCTCAAAAGTCGGCCTCGTGAGGCGCCTCAAAAGGAGGGGCAGGCAGGCAGACACAAAGACTGTTTGAGGCCTGGGTGGGTGGTGTGGTGGTAGCAACCTAGATGGCTGCTCCCTGCGATGCGACGTACACCGCTGCCCGGTTGAACAGCGCCCTGGCTGGGGTGGGAAGAGGGGGGGGAAAGAGGGACAGGACGGGGGAAGGGACAGAGTCGCCATGGCTGCTCTGTGTGATGCGACGTACACCGCTGCCCGGTTGAACAGCGCCGTGGCTGGGGTGGGGGCACGGTTTCAGGGGGAGGAAATACGGACGGAAGGGGGGGAGGAGCCGGTTGGCCATGGCTGCTCCGTGCGATGCTATGTAGACTGCCGCCCGGTTAAAGAGTGCCCTGGCTGAGGTGGGAGGAGGGACAGGCGATGTAGACTGCCGCCCCCGGTTGAACAGCGCCCTGGCTGGGAGAGGGACGAAGGGGGGGAAGACGGAGGGGGAAGAAAAGAGGGACAGGGGAGAATTCTCAAAAGCGATTTCAACATAGGTGGTGGTAGCAAGCGTTGGGATAGACTCGGGGGCGGATCTCGAGCAACACCACCACCCTCTCCTTCCCAAACATCCCCTCCACTGCTTCCAGCAGCCCTTCAAACCCCACCATCTTCCTAGTGTTCCCCGGCCGCCTCGCAACCAGCACCACCCAGTCTGCTGGTAACACAGCAGACCTCGCATCTATACCCCACTGGACAGCACTGGACCGTACATCATACGTAAATTCCAGGATGGGTATAGAGCCGTTAAAGACCACCACCCTCTCCTTCCCAAACATCCCCTCCATCTCTCCCAGCAGCCCCTCGAATCGAACCCCAGCATCGAGACCACACTGGACCGTACATTGATCCTGCATAATCCATGTGCTCCCTCCCCAGCAACAACCAACCTTCCAGGATGGGAAGAGACCTCTTGATATACCTCGGAATTCTAGTCTTTTGAGAAAGTACCATCAACGGATGCATGCCATCCGAGGGGGTTTTAGTTTTTCTGCCCGGAGGAGGCAGGTCGACGGTGGGTCGACGGTCGATTTCCCTGGCAAAATCGATTGTCGACCCTCTTTCCGTTGAGGTATTCCCGTGAAAAACCACCACGCTCTCCTTTCCAAAACGCTATTCCACTGCTTCCAGCAGCCCCTCAAACCCCACCATCTAGGTGTATTTTGAGGCGCCTCAAAATGCAGCCCCTCGAACCCCACCATCTTCCTAGTGTTCCCCGGCCGCCTCGCCACCACCACCACCCAGGTAGCACAGCAGCCCGCACGTCGGACCACGGGCCGGGGGAGTGGGGGCGGAGGCGCCAGGGGGAGAGAGTGGGCTCGGTGGTTGGGGTTACAGCACTGAAACCGGTCTACACCACACTGGACCGTACGTACCTTCCAGGATGGGTATAGAGCCATTGAAAATCACCACCCTGTCCTTCCCAAAAAGCCCTTCCACTGCTTCCAGCAGCCCCTCAAACCCCACCATCTTGCGCGTGTTCCCCGGCCGCCTTGCCATCACCACCACCCAGTTTGATGGCAGCACAGCAGCCCGCGCGTCGGAAAACGGGCCGGGGGAGTGGGAGCGAAGGCGCCAGGGGGAGGAGAAGAGGGGCAGGCCGTCGGGGGGGAGGAGGTAGTTGAGACGCAGATGGCGCCACAGGCTGGGGCTGGGCTTGCCACACCCCTGGTACACGGGCTGTTGGGGGGTTGAAAGGGGGGGGGGGAGGGGAGGGCGGGAAGAGAAAGAAGGAGAAGAGGGGCAGGCCGTCAGGAGGGAGGAGGTAGTTGAGGCGCGGGTGGCGCCACAGGCTGGGGCTGGGCTTGCCACACCCCTGGTACACGGGCTGAGGAGGGATGGGATAGGGGAAAGAGGCAGGAGCATGGGAAATAGATGATTCAAGTGGAGGAGGGGGGGAAGGTGGGACAGGAAGCAGGTGAGGGTGCAGGCAGAGGTAGCGCCACAGGCTGCTGCCCCCCTTGGTACACCATACACGGGCTGTGGGGGGAACCACAACTGAAGTGCATAGAACTGTGAATTGAGGCGGGAAGCGAAGTTGGATGGTGATCAGCAAGGCACAGCACAGCACCGCACCGCACCGCACTGCACGGCACGGCACGGCACGACAGTGACAGCATGGCACGGCATGACAGTGACTGCATGGCACGGCATGACAGTGACTGCATGGCACGGCATGACAGTGACTGCATGGCACGGCATGACACGACACCGCACAGCACAGGAAAAGACATCGCCACACTGCACCTCACCGCACAGCACCGCACAGCACCGACCTGGTAGAGAACATCACCGTGAATGAGCATGGAGCGGTGCGTGTCCTCCAGCACAATCAGATTCATCTGACATCACATGCAGTATAGGTTGACTCTGGTTCTGTTGCATCACTTCTCGGTGCAGTGAGCAGACCTGATAGACACAACACCAACACAACACCTGATAGACACAACACCTGATAGACACAACACCAACACAACACAACACCTGATAGACACAACACCAACACAACACCTGATAGACACAACACCAACACAACACCTGATAGACACAACACCAACACAACACCTGATAGACACAACACCAACACAACACCTGATAGACACAACACCAACACAACACCTGATAGACACAACACCAACACAACACCTGATAGACACAACACCAACACAACACCTGATAGACACAACACCAACACAACACCTGATAGACAGACACAGACGACATTGGTGTGGATGTGCTTGGAGCGGTGTGTGTCCTCCAGCACAATCAGATTCATCTCACATGCGGTTCTACTGTAAGTGGTGAGAGACCAGCACCGCACAGCACCCACCTAATAGACGACGTCGGCATGGATGAGCTTGGAGCGGTGTGTGTCCTCCACCACTATCAGGTTCATCTCACATGGAGTTATACTGGGAGTCACTCACCAGCACCGCACAGCACCACACAGTACCTGGTAGACAACATCGGCATGGATGAGCTTGGAGCGGTGTGTGTCCTCCACCACTATCAGGTTCATCTGCGTCGTCTCCAGCCCCACCAGGTACTTCACCATCTCGTTGTAGAAGGCCAGCTTGTAACGAGTACAACCAGGGAAGGGCAGGACAGGCAGGACAGGCAGGCAGGCACAGAAAAGAGAAGGGAAGAGAGATTTGAGATTGCTGAACGAATAGCCTAGCTGTTTTGTCCACCAATTGCGTGTCACGTACAGAAATTTCATCCCCCTTGTGTGTGCGTAAGTGCATCCCCGTTTAAGCGTCCTTCCATAACAAAGGCATGTGAATTACCGGCAAAAATGTGGGTGCGTTGGTGCGTTGTTCCTTGTTTTAGTTGTTGTTAACGAGAAGAGTTCCAGCGACCTGACTCTCGGTTTTTTGCTAGTGTTATAGCTTTACACGCTTTACCTACTTGCTTAAACCTAGCTCCTAAGCATCCCAGCTCACTGGAAGAATGGCACAAGGTCTGCATACCTGGCTGCGGCGGAAGACGATGGGGATGTCAGGGTTGGCGCGCAGCAGGTCAGCGAGCATGAGGAACTGGGGGAAGAACTCCACGAGCGAGTGGTAGAAGGCCACTGCGTGGTTGTACGCGAGGGACACCACCCGGTGCAGCTTCATCACCTGGGCCTCCCCTGCCTTGTAGTCAAACTGGCGGGAATGGAGTGGGGATTGCGAGGGTTGGACTGGGGAAAGAGTGAGGACAGCAGGTCAGATAGGACGAGGGGGAAGAACTCGACGAGGGAGTGATAGAAGGCGACTGCGTGGTTGTATGCGAGAGACACCACCCGGTGCAGCTTCATCACCTGGGACTCCCCCGCCTTGTAGTCAAACTGGTGGAGGGTGGGAGGAATAGTAGAGAGAAGAGGGGGTTGTGATGTGATGTGGTATGGTGTGGAATGGTTGGACAGGATGTGTGGCGGTGGTAGACATCCCCCCCACCCACCCACCCCCGCTCTCTCAACCCCCCATCGCACCTCGAGGTCTTGGAAGCACCGTGGGGGGGCTGGACACAACACGTTGATCCCCCTTCCCCCCCCATATCCCCTCATTCCCCTCCTCAGCGCACCTCGAGGTCTCGAATGCAGCCACGGCGGTCAAAGAGGAGAAAGTGGTTGCACACGAGGCCATTCACGTTGATCGCCGTGGTTGATAAACATGCAGCGCAGCTCCAACAACTGAAACACACACCTCACACACACTGCCCCTCCTCTCCCACCCCCCTCCCCTCCTCTCCCACAATCTTCCCTCCTCTCGCACTCACGTCCCTCCTCTCTCCCAACCACTTCCCCAACCCACCTCCAGGTCCCTGAAGCAGCCATGGCGGTCGAAGTGGAGGGAGCGGTTGAAGAAGAGGCCATTGACAGCGCAGCTCAAACAGCTGAAACACACACCTCACTCCCCTCCTCCTCTCCCACTCACTGCCCTCCCCTCTCCTGCCAATATCTTCCCATCTCTCCCACTCACTTCCCTCCTATCCCACCTACCTTCCCACACCCACACTCGCTCTAACCCACATCCCCCCACCGCACCTCGAGGTCTCGGAAGCAGCCGTGGCGGTCGAAGTGGAGGGAGCGGTTGAAGACGAGGCCATTCACATTGATGAACATGCCGCGCAGCTCAAACAGCTGAAACACCATCGCATCGTGCCAGTGGTGGTCCGTCTTGTGCGTGCACCGAGGATCCGCCCCTAGCTCCCCCCATGCCCGCCCATATCCCCCCATTTTCCTCCTTTGACTCCCCCGTGTTTCCCCCAATCCCCCCAACCAACGCACCTCGAGGTCTCGAAAGCAGCCGTGGCGATCGAAGTGGAGGGAGCGGTTGAACACGAGCCCATTCACGTTGATGAACATGTCGCGCAGCTCAAACAGCTGAAACACCATCGCATCGTGCCAGTGGTGATCCGTCTTGTGAGTACACCGAGGGTCCGCCCCAAGCTCCCCTGACTCGTTTGCGTGCGACAATTTCGGGCAGTTTTCCGGCTGGTCCGGGCGGTAGTAAATTTCGTCGGCGAATTCCGGGCGGAAACAGGCGCGCACGGTCGGGAAGGAGTCACCGCAGGAGCCGAAGCTCGGGCAGGGTTCGCCCATGCAGCGAAGTTTCACTTGCCCGGGGTAGATGGTTTTGTGGTAGTTGAGAAACGAGTCGTTCAGGTCAGTGCGCTTTATGCTCTTATCGAGTGGTACTGTAGCGAGTATGCCTTCTCGAGTGGATGTTACAGAGGCTACACTGCAGGGACCAGCAGAAAGGACAGAGGGGAAGGTGGAGAGGGGAGGAGCAGAGTTTTGAGGCGCCTCAAAAGAAAAGTAGCGATTACTCCCTCTCGAGCGGATGTTACAGAGGCCACAATGCAGGGACCAGCAGAAAGGGCAGAGGGGAAGGGGGAGAGGGGAGGAGCAGAGGGGTAGGGAGAGAGAGGAAGAGGAAGAGCGACGCACAAGCGAACACCACTTCAGCAGAGGAAAATATATATACTCCGGCCTCGCACAAGCAAACACCTCAACTCACATCACCTATGACTCAAACCAACCCTTTCCCATCGCATTGCACCCTCCCTCCTGCCACCTCGCCCCACCACTCCCACCGTTCTCCTCTCACTCTCCCCCTTTCATCGTACTGCACCACACCCATTCCCATTGCACCCACTCCCACGGTTCTTTTCTCACCTGCTGCCTGCTGCCATGCGCTTCGCAATGATAGCCTCTGCCTGCTCCACCTGCTGCAGCAATGCCTGCGCCATGATCATGGCTCTGGGAGGACAGCGGGAAGGGAAGAATGAAGGAGCATATCAGACCTCGTGTCCCTCAAAACACTGCTCCACCCCGAAGGGCGATGATGGCCTCTGCCTGCTCCACCTGCTGCAGCAATGCCTGCGCCATGATCATGGCTCTGGGAGAGGGAAGGAAGGGAATAATGGGCAGCAACGCCTCATGAGCCATGATGACCGGTAGGTGTATATTCACCCGACCGAAAGGGCCATCAGCGCCTCTCCGCCTGCTCTACCTGCTGCAGTAATGCCTGTGCCAGGAGCATTGCGGTGGGGGAAGAGAGCGAAAAAGAGGAATCAATCTAGCGAGAAGAGGAGGTGGGTGGGTGTGGGTGGGGCTCTGTCTGTATCTTCACCGCGAAGGGCAAGAGCAGCTGGACCAGGCTGACTGAGAGTGGTGTTAGGCTGGGCCACCAAAGCCTCCACCACCCCCACCCCACGCTCCTTTGAAGGTTTCCCACCCCACCCACAGGGTCCAATATCTGACTGACTCTTGAGTCGTCCGAAACAGGCCGCCACAAACTTTGTCTCACAATCCGTCTCTAAGAACTCAACTCGCTCACCGGGCTGAGGGGGTGGCGTTGGGCTGGGCTGCCATGGCCTCTTACCATCCCCACCCCGCGCTCCTCCTCTCCACCTCGTCCAACAGCTGGCTTTTATTCGTCTCAACAGTTGCCCAAAAATGTGTCATGTGCCATTGTAACGGGGTGACATTTGATTCGACTTAAAAAGGATTTTTGAGTCGACTCAAAAGTCACTTCCACCACCATCCCCACGCTCCTCCTCTCCACCTCGTCCAACAGCTGGCTCTTTATTCGTCTCAACAGTTGCCCAGAAAAGCAGCTCCATATTACGATTTTTGAGGCGCCTGAAATTTTGACTCAAATGCCATCTCAACTCACCGCTCCGACAGGGTGGCGTTGGGCTGGGCTGCCATGGCCTCCACCAGCCCCACGCCCCTCTCCACCTCGTCCACCAACTGGCATTTATTTGTCTCACAGGCCGTTTCAAAGGTCCCCCCAAAAGCCGTCTCTGAAAAGACAAGACTCACCGCTCCGACAGGGTGGCGTTGGGCTGGGCTGCCATGGCCTCCACCAGCCCCACGCCCCTCTCCACCTCGTCCACTAGATCCGCCTCCGCTCCCTCTGCTATGGCCAGCCTGGGGGAGCAAGGAGTGGGAGCAGAAGGAGCAGGAGGCGAAGAAAAAGGTAAAACTCACTGACGCTCACTGATCTTCCCCACCAGCCCTTTTTCCCAAGTGATGCTGCTCTCCACCTCGTCCACTAGATCCGCCTCCACTAGGCCCTCCGCTCCCTCAGCTCACTGACGCTCACTGATCTTCACCACCAGCCCCACGTGAAGATCAGTGAGCACGTGATGCTGCTCTCCACCTCGTCCACTAGATCCGCCTCCGCTCCCTCTGCTATGGCCAGCCTGGGTTGATTGGGACGCGGGGACGGGAGAATTGATACATCCATCTTCTGAATTCTTTCTTTGCTTCCACTCCACCAACCCCACTACTCACCCCTTCGCCATCTGCTCGCTAAGGGCATTCCTCCTCATCTCCGTTGGTCCGTCCAGCAGCGCCGCATCTTCCGCGTGCGCCCATTCTCCCCTGCTTTCCTCTCCCCTGCTTTCCTCTCCCCCTGGCCCTTGACTTTTGAGTGGACTCAAAAGTCATCTCTTCCGCATGCGCCCATTCTCCCCTGCTTTCCTCTCCCCCTGGCCCTCTGCCCTCCCTTCCCCTTTTCCTTTCCCTCTTTCGTCTTCCGCGCCCGGCCCCTTCGACACTCCTCCCCCTCCCCTCAATCATCTCTCCCTTCCTTTCCCGTCCCTCCCCTTCCCTTCCCTTTCACCCCTCCCTTCCTCTCCCTCTTACTCACCCTTTCGCCATCTGCTCGCTAAGGGCAGTCCCCATCTCCGTCAATGCGTCCAGCAGCACCGCGTCTTCCGCGTCAGGCCCCTTGGGCACCACCTCCGCGCCCTCTATCATCTCCGGCACTATGATTGGCGCATCGTCCGCTCCTGCAGCCGCTGCCACGTCAGCACCAGGAGAACAGAGCCACGTCAGGCAGCCAGGTCAGCATCGGAATTTGAGCAAGGGCTGTACAGCCAAGTCGGACCTTACAGCACATGCTCACAGCACAAGATCACAGCACAAGCTCACAGCACAAGCTCACAGCACATGTTACATTACATGACATGTTACATGACACGAAGTTTGAAGGTGCGGTTTGAACGGACTCTCAGAACACACATGGTTAGCGCTGCAGCGCTGGTATGGACTTCCTTGAGTCTCCATTTCAGACTAAATGTGAACCACGCTGGGTTAAGCGAATGCCTGCGCGCACGCCCTACAAACGTCTGACAGGATCACTTATGAGACGCTGCAGCGCTAAGATCTCCTAAACACGCTGCAGTGATATCAAGGACCCCGAGTGTCTCCCATTTGACAACATGACAGTGAGTGTCTCATTACAATATGAATCAAGCTGGTATTCAGCCAATGAAACTCATTTCGAGTCAATTCGAATGACGACTTTCGAAGCTCCTAATAAGGCGGATCAAGCTGGCAATCAACGAATGTCAGCCTTACGAACACGCAACGGTCAGTGATCGCTCTTACGCGCCAGACGAACGGCGATGATGCAGCAGAGAAGAGCGAGCGGGACCGCGGAGAAGCGCGCCGATCCCATCCCGGAAGGAGTTCCCGCACTATGTTATCAGGCTTCTACTACGACGGCTCAAAGGCCGGCGTGACGTGGCGACACTAACGGCTGACGGTCAGCAGCAGGCTATGCTCTTAAATGACGGGTCAGAAGCAGGGTATGCACGGCCGCGTCGTCACTAGAAGCATAAAGGCCTGGTAATGCGAATGCGGAAGTGTCGCACGCATGTCACGCGCTCGGTAATCCCGCTGTTCGTAACTCGTGCTCAGTGCTCATTTGTTCTGACTGCTCTGGCAAGCATCACTTGCGCCTCCAACCATAACTGCGGGAGTACCCGCTACTGGAGTTTTGTTTATACTCGAAGTTGTGCACCACAAATTGAGCCGTAATCAGCTTCGTAGCATTACAATTTTTGCTTTCAAAAAAGAGGCGCATACCATATTTCATCGGTAAACATACACGACATATGTACAGTTACTGTGTCATTTTTAGTCAAAAATAAGCTCATCGACGATAACGGCACCTCGAGAATGCATGAAATAGAGACCCAAGTGATGGGTGGCATCCTGTGGCCAACGAAAGCACAAATTCACATAAGGAAAGAGACAAGGGCGTGCACTATACGGGGCTTGTGAAAGCAAGATAATACTACACTGAAACGCAATCGATTTGTATCAAAAAATGCACTGAAAAATAAAATGACATTTTGTAACACAGGGCCATTGGCACTGTAGCATTGGCACTGTACCTGAGGATGCGATGCAGTAGCGCCCCTCCCAAGGCTCTCAGCAACGGGCCGGGGCAGGTTGTATGTGGAGCAGGCAGGAGCAACCACCACAATTTCTTTCAGCTGCTGCCCGAACAGCCCGTGGTTCCGGGCAGACAGTGCAGTCAGCACGAAATCCATGACACAAATGTCTGTGCATATGCCAACCACGATTATCTGCAATGTGGGTGGGAGGAGAGAAGGACATGTGGACATGAGCACATATTGAGAGACTAAGGACTCAACGATTGAAGGGGGAGTGGAGAGACTGGAAAAGCAGGATGAGATGGAGAAAAAAAGGAGACTAGAGTAATGGCAGCAGAGGAGAGTGGGGAGGGAGGAGAGAGGAGAGGGGAGAGGGGAGAGGGGAAGAAAGCGAAAAGGGGGGAGAGGAAGAATGTGTACATGTTCCAGTTGGTGCTTGATCGCCCATTGCGTCACAACGTTTGTCCCATCTGCTTGTATGCCGCCCACAAACCCATTAATACAGTCCTTCTCCATTAAAGTCACACTGCCTCTAGTCACACGGCCATCAGCATCTGTGGCTGCTGTAGCGGTTTCTCCTCCCCTGCTTGCTTCCCTCTCAAGCCACGCCAGGGCTGCAAGGGAGAAACGGGCATGCAGCAGGGGGCAAGACAGGCTAAGAACTTTCTAGGCGCCTCACGAGAGATACGGGCAAGCAGAGAGCGAGACAGGCGAAGAATGAGACCTGGTCTAGGAAAGGCAAATGCATTCTGAGGTACAAAACGAGGCAAGACTGCAAGTGGCATTGACCATGCATGGACAGTCATCCAAGGAATCAGATGGGGTGGAGGGCCGATCGGAGGGAAGGTGCAGTGGAGAGACAGAAAGTAGGATAATGGAGACTACAAGTTAACATAGTCACACATCATACAGTCACTCGCTATATATCAGCCTTTCTTCCCCTGCGCCTCCCATGTACTAAGGGGGGTATGGAGCCTCTGGCCTGTCTACTGAATGGTCAACAGAATACTCACCCTTCATACAATCACTCCCCATCGTCACCCTTCATACAGTCACTCACCGTCGTCACACTTCATACGATCACTCACGCTTCAGTCACAACTCACCCTCTACCAGCTTCTCTTCCCCCGTGCCTCGCACGCAGTGGGAGGGTACGGCGGCTCTGGCTTGTGCACTGAAGTAGCCACTCTCTCTGCACAATATAACCCCTCATACAGTCACTCACGCTTCAGTCATAACTCACCTTCTACCAGCTTCTCTTCCCCCGTGCCGCGCACACAGTGAGGAGGGTACGGTGGCTCTGGCTTGTCCGAGCTCCCATGAGTCATCCTTAATAGTCACACACGACACAGTCACACACGCTGCATTCACTCACCCTCTACCAACTTCTCCTCCCCCGTGCCTCGCACGCAGTGAGGGGGGTATGGTGGCTCTGGCTTGTCCGCCTCGTGGGTGTCCAGGAAGGCCAGTACAGGCATGCCACGTGTCAGCATGTCATTGGCCAGCGAGGATGTTCGCGACACCATGTTTTCTATCTGCTCGTCTCTCACAGAAGGGGCCTTTGGGAAGAGATGGCGGGAAATGAGGCGTGATTGTAAAGGGGATAGGAGGGGGGGAGGAGTGGGAGGGATGGGGAAAGGAAGAGAGAGGGGATTGGGTGAGCGAGATAGAGGGGAGGCGGATGAGACGTTGAAAGAGAGAGGGACAGTGTGAAACAACTCATATCCAACGAGAAGATGAAATATCGTGAAGCACTCCCTCATATCCAACTCATTCAGCCCGTCCCTCCCCCCACTCACCGGATTCCCCGCGCCTGGAGTGCAGAAGCCGTTGACCTCTACCAACCGAAATTGTGCTGCCTCTCCCTCCGCCTATTTACTAAATTCCCCGCGTGGCTGCCTCTCCTTCCGCCGCTCCCTCCCCCCACTCACCAGATTCCCCGCGCCTAGAGTGCAGAAGCCGTTCACCACATTCACGATCACAAATCCCACTCGCACATCTTGAGTCGGCTCAAGATAAAAACCCGCGCCTCCCCTTCCCGTTCCGCCCACTCACCAGATTCACCTTGCCTCTCCCTCCGCCAGCTTACCAGATTCTCCGCGCCGAGAGTGCAGAAGCCGTTCACCTTATCCGCTATCACCAAACACACGCGCACATATTGAGTCGACTCAAGGTGAAAACCTGCGCCTCCCCTTCCCGTTCCGCCCACTCACCAGATTCAACTGAATCGACTCAAGGCGGGTTAACCCGCCTCTCGCTCCGCCCACTCACCAGATTCCCCGCGGCGGGAGTGCAAAAGCCGTTGACTTCATCCACGATCACCAATCCCACGCGCGAATCCCGCGCGATGCGGAACTTCCCGGATTCTACGGGGAGGTGCTGACGTAGCGCTGACATTAGCTTGGCTTCGTCAGGAACAGCCATTCTGAGGCGCGATGAACGGCAGCAGCGAAGGAAGGTGGGACTTACAAGTTACGAAATTCCGCTACTACAGTACAAGTTCACACGAGAAAGACGGAAGGAGGGAGAGAGGTCCGTTAACACTTGGTTAGGTTTGCTTGACTGTGATTGGGTAACGAAAGCGAAATATATGACGAGTGGGTGAAAAAATCACAGCGAACTACCAAAACAGTCGAGGCCAAAACAAACCAGGGTGGGTTGGTTTGGGTGGAAAACGAGCCAAGGGGGACAGGTTCGGTCCCCCCTTCTGTCAACGTTGAGTTTCAGAGTCTCATATTTTCGGAAGTTGTAAACGCTTGGTGTGCACGGGAAGTGTGCGACAGCCAGCTTTCCCAAACCACCCCTTGCTTTGGTGTGCTTTGCGACAAACTTTGCTGTTACCAAATTCCAACCGTTTAACACTTGGTTGGGTAGCAGAAATATGAGACGCGAGCTTTAAAAAACAGAGTCGCGATACGACCGTAATGCAATCGTGTATTAGATTGTACCATCAAGCTCGTTGGAGAAAGCACGGGGACTTGTCAGGCTACTTCGTAAATGGCCTTGATTCATTGCCTCGCATCAGTAACAACACCTCGCAGACTGGGAACAAAGTTCATCCCCAGTGATTTTTTTCCAAGCCATTTAGCGAAACTTTTTCTTTTTGGGTTGCGGAGCAACCTATTGCAATCGACCAGAAGGAAATGTACTTTTCGGGGTATTTCTGTATTTTCCCCAAACTCTAAAAAATCTACACGTTTTTTCTCAGATTATCCTCTAATCGTAATATTCATGTTCTTCACATGTTCAAATCATTAAAAATCTTGATCACTATGTTAAAACCTGATCACTATGATATCATTTTGATCTTTAAAAGCAATTCGTAGTTGCAGACCTTCAGACTTTACAGTTTAAGTGGAGAAATATACCGACCGAGCAAAACGATCATTATATTTCTGTTCCATCTCTGATGAGTTCACAACACAACAGAGACGAATGTATTTATCGATAGAATCGATGAATACATGTCGAAAGTTTTAAGTTTCAAGTTATACGAAAAATCGATATTTATGCTACCGCTTCCCCAGCCTAGCATGGGGGGGAAGATACGGCAGTATAAACGTTCTATGAATAACATGACATGAAGCAATACAATCTGCAAATCCCAAAGAAAAAACTACACCGATCAAGTCCAACTCAAAATGGCTTCACTGTCATAGTGGTGCACCACTGAGCCTTATTTGACAATGACCGATGAGTTTTCTCTTTGAAACATGCAGACATGCATTACCAGTGAGATGAAAAGCAGCAGATGATAAACATAAGAAAATATGCAAGAAATCTAACAATTAATAATAATTAAGGGCAGTTAAACTATTGCTCTATTGGTTGTATCCTCCTTTCCATCCCACCTACGGTATACCAGAATCTGCATTAAAAGGGCAAGGCATAACAAACACAGAACACACGTGTGGAAGGAAGAATAAGAAGGGAAGAGGAAAAAGAGAGAAACCAAAGACAAAACTAAAACCAGAAAACAAAAAAGAAAAAATGGTTTTGTTGGAGCAAAACTGACTGGAAATGAGGAAAACGACAGAGACAGAAGCAAACAAATGATTATGCGACAGAAGAACGGACAGAAAACAAGATAAGAAACAGGCATGAATATATTACATTAGAAGAAAAGAGAAACTGACACGAAAATGAGATCGGACATCAAAATCCAAGAAGTATAAAGGAATAAGAAGAAATGGACAGAAGCGAAGGAGGAAACACGGAGAAGCGTAAGAAATTAAAAGGAATCAAGATCTAAAGAAGAAGGATTAAGAAAAGAGGAACGCTCAGAATAAAGTGGTAAGAGAGGTAATAGAGTGAATAAGGAAGTCACAGACAGAAAAGGGAGGTGGACGGGAGAATAGAGGATGGGAGAAAATCTAAGAAAGGTTGAAATTTAAGCACACTACGCTAAAGGAAACATCCACACACAAATAAGAGCCAATACCGGATGCTAGAGTAAGGATACGTAAATCGGGATAAAAGAGAATACGGGCAACAAGATCTACGGTAGTAAGTAGTGAAATAAAAACATAGTTTCCCTAAGCTTTCACAAAACCTAGAACTAAATCGCTCTGTTAGGAACTGAAGTAGAAATTCATAACAATTAACTCGAAAAACAAAGAGCGACAGCGATTGAAACGAAAGGAAGGAGTAGGGTGGAGAAAGAACGCTAAGACAACGACGTCAGTTGAAAGAAAAGCATATGAAAGAGATGAGTTAACGGTCAAATAAGCTCACCTTAGAACTTGGAGTGAAGGGTTGTAGATGGAGATACGGTAGAAGCCACTTCTAGCTGGAGATAGTAGTTGAAGGAGACCCACTAGATGAAGTGGGTGGAATAGCAGGAGCAAACGAAACAAGCGGGAAAAGAACAAGAAATAAAGCATCAAATAACACAAAGGCAAAAAACAGAGCATGAAGGAACGGACGTGAAGGGATGAAAAAGAGATAGCAAAAATGAAGGACGCGCGAATCATACGAGAAGTAGGAACGGAGGACAAAGGAAGAAAGAGAACAGACTACTGAGTAAGGAGTCTGGAAATAAGAAACGGTAAAACATGGGCGAGATTGAAGTTCTAGCAAGAATGATAAGTAAGCGGCAGAACGAGAGAGATCTAGGGGAGCAAGAGTACAAGGAGAAGACTAACATACTCCTAAAATGAAGTTCAAGTGGCTAATATCCATTTATACCTATGAAAAACGGCGTACCAGCTTGCACGAGAGAAGAGCCACGAAGGAACGAGACTCGAGTGGCGAGAGGAAGGAAAAGGAGAAAAAGGAAACCCTGGCAATGGAGATTCGTCGCAAAAAGAACATTTCGGACCACACGAACCACTTCCAACGAACAGCTGTCGTGACGTAGTGGTGAGAGACTTTGTTTTTCGAATCCTTGCGTGCTCCTTTTGCATGTGAGTTTCATACTCGATACTAGAGGTGATGCATAATCAGGTAATAATGAAAAAACGAGTTACATATTTAGTATTACAGTTGTATAAAATATGTTGTTTATGCAAAACGCTCCGCAACCCTAAGACGATTTCGTCGCCTCTTGTTTTTTTTTTAAGGATGCATTTCACTATAAAGCGAGTACATCCACAGTCGTAACTGTAAGGGGGAAGGGGACTGGTAGACGACAGGCATCTACACGACCCTTCCTTAGCAGCTTATGGTGGTTGAAAGGTCGTTCTCGGGTTGGACCACACCGATCTGAACCCTTCTCTCCACGTCAGCGTGCCTTCATCTGCAAATATCCGGCCCAGCATCGTGGCCTCGTCCTGCTCCAGATAGGTCCAGCTCTGCTCTACCCCTCTCCTGTCATGCTTTGCCACCTGTTTCTTGTAAGCGTTGTAAATCCGGACGTGTTTCATGAAGTTCGTACCGATTTTCCGGAGCACCCTCTGCGGTTGAAACTTGCCCTGGCGAAATGCTGCTTCACAGCGCTCCAGCCAGATTTGGTGGAATGCCACAGCGATCAGCGGTTTTTCCGGGAAGCCCGATTTAGTGCCATCCTCTGTGAACAGAAAGTCTTCCAGACTCCCCACCTTCCTGTTTGGATTCATCTGCAACAGTGCCCCCCTGAGCGCGCCGATGACAGGCTGTATGCTGACACAGTCCAGCAGGCAGTGCGCTAGGGTTTCGTCCTGTTCACAGTGCGGGCAGCTGATTTGCTCCTTCATGAACCGCAGCCTTTCCCCCACCTGAAGGTTCTTGCTGTGCAGCCGTAGAATGATTTCACGCGGTCTGCCCGGTGTGACCAAAGTATCACGTTTCCGTATAGTTTCCTTCCAGTCGATGGGCCTTCCGTACTCTTGCTCCCACTTCTTTTGCTGCTTTGGCTGCTCCACCGCCCCCTTCAATGCAGCTCTCAGTTTCTTCACAGGAGCGCCTCTCCCCCTCTCACACAGTGTTGACAGTCTGAGCTGTGTGAGTGGGGCTCCCGCTTCTCCCACCAAAACCCCGTTCTCCACCATTAGTGGCGTTAGTCTGTAGGTGTCAAGCCGCAGCAGGCTGGTACTTCTGGAGAAGTGGATCTCCCCCTTCTTCCCCACTTCCACCGGTTTGCCCATAATTCCGTTTCCCTCCGCCGATATCAGCTGCCAGTATAATGTTCTTCCCGCTAAGGAACGTGTGCTGCCGAACCGTGTTATTTTCAGCATCTCCTGTCAAACTTATATGCTATAGTCTGTGTAGGCTATAGTGGGGTAGACAATATGGGGTACAACACTTTTAGGTCATTCTACTTGTACCCACCTGTTTTCCTAGTGCACCCATTCCTTGTTCTTTCACATGGTATAGAGCAGGTTCCCTAGTGGGAACGTTTCCTAGGGCCCACCGAAAATTCGAATTTTTTTTTTTCCTGCCCGGAGCGCGTTTCACCCCTGCCCGAGTCGCGCCCCGCGTTCCCTGCCCTTAGTGGCCCCTTAGCCGCTCCCTCACGGCCCCTCGCGGCCCCTTAGCGGCTCCCTCGCGGCCCCACTCGCGCCCCCTCACGGCCCCTCTATCACGGCCCCTCGCGGCCCCTTAGCCGCTCCCTCGCGGCCCCTCTCACGGCCCCTCGCGGCCCCTCGCGCGGCCCCTCTCCCGGCCCCTCGCGGCCCCTCTCACGGCCCCTCGCGGCCCCTCCGCGGCCGTTCGCGGCCCCTCGCGGCCCCTCGCCGCCCCTCGCGGCCCCTCTCACGGCCCCTCGCGGCCCCTCCGCGGCCGTTCGCGGCCCCTCGCGGCCGTTCGCGGCCCCTCTCACGGCCCTGTCGCGGCCCCTCGCGGCCCCTCGTGGCTCGTCGAGGCTCGTCGCGGCCCCTCCGCGGCCCCTCTCCAGGCCCCTCGTGACCCCGTCGCGGCTCCCTCGCGGCCCCGTCGCGGCTCCCCCGTCGCCCCTGCCCGCCGCGGCGCCCTGCCCCAACCCGCGCCCTGGAGCAGCCGCCACTGCA